ATAAGATGGAAAACATGTCTGAATCCACGTTGAAGTCAAATGGAATGAAAGTAAGGGATGGCAAAGTCTCACACAGTTACGTCTTCTTCCTCTGTTGCCATCCTGAATCCTTAATCCTGACTCCTAAATCTTGAAAACTGTCATCACCTGCCTTCCTGCTTTCCCTTTTTGGAATAATTCCTCTCCTAATTCTGAAAGCCCCACAGTTGTCAAATCCTAAGCCTGTTCGTTGACCATAGTCTCAGAAAAGTAAAGTATTTAATTCAAACAACTTTGTTCTAAGTATCAGCGTTTGGATTTTCAAGCCTTTTTCAGAGTTGTGACAGCTGTTCAGAATGTCGTCAGCTGATCTCTTGCAATGTTAAGCAGAGCAAACACGAGCGGACATTAATAATTCAAGTCCCTATGTGTGCATGAACATTGGTCCATGTGTGAGTTTCCAGAGCCAGACAGCAGGTAAGGAGGTGATTTCCTCTGGTCTCTCCCGGGATTGAAAGAAGCCATGTCATTTAAGGAGCAGCTCAGTGCGAGGTGAGAAGAGCGGGCTGACCGCCAGGCTTTTCAATTACTCTGATTGCAACAGTGAATGTGTGTATTTGGGGTTATGTGGGTTCAGACTGTTTCGAGGTGAAATAGACGGTAGAAGAAAAAAGAGCAAAGATTAGAGAAATGGTCTGAGAAAAACAATTTTTGATTGCAGCATTCCTTTTTTCTTCTTTTCTACCCCAGTATGTGTTTTGTGACCCCTCTGATTCATCCATACCCCCATTTGGAAAACATTATTGTCAGTAAATGTAGAAAATCCAGTGTTGCATTTTATGTGAAGTGAAAGCAGGTTATCATCATGCATGTCTGTCAGAATGAAATGTAGGCAAGAAATAGACATGGGAAATCCATATATCTGTGTGTGTGTGTGTGCGTGCGTGCGTGGGTGCGTGCGTGCGTGCGTGCGTGCGTGTGTGTGTTTGTAAGGGAGAGAGTAAATTCATACATGCTCCAATGGATTTGTTTCCAGATGTGTAATTCCTTGACTGGTACCAGAGCCGGTATGTTGCTCAAATGTAGTGTTCTGTTAAATCATTGCAATCCACCCATAACAATGACTCTGGAATTCTGTTCAATTTTTCTAATTATCTCTAAAAAAAAACACCAAAAGCTACACGTTGGTCACTTTGAATAACTTAAATGTTGATACACTTCTGCAGCGGCCGCAACGCACTCTCTGGTGACTGGCATGTTTACCGAACGCTGTAATGGCATCATTTTCTGCTATGCTGCACTCTTCAGCAAAGCAGAACAGTTTGTTTTATTTCAGAATGGCAGGAGGTTATACAAGGAAGTCATACTGCATCAAGAAGCAGGCATCCCGCCGTACATGTCAACGTTTCCCACCCAAGATATTTTTAGGCATAAAATGGGAACATTCAATGAATATCTGCATTTCCATTTCTGAAATGTAGTATAGCAGAGTGTAAAGTGTTGTCTTTATATTTTTACCAAGAACAGTGAAAACCTCAGTGATCACTCTTGATCATTTTAAACAGATTTTTGTTATTAGCAAATGTGTTTCTTATTCTTTATTTCATATGAATGTTATAATTATTAGAATGTTTGTATTACATGAATAGGAAACAAAGAATCAGCTATGGTATTTACCTCATTTACCTCAGACTGTATCAAAATAAAATATACCGGTTTAAATGAATGATTAAGAAAAATACACCATGTATAATACACAATATATATATAGCTTATAGCTTGTATAAAAATATAGCTTGGAGTTGGTTCCGGTGCATTTTTACATTTTTATCAAGTCTAAAAATAATGCGTACCTGCTTTTAAAACAAATATTTACACTACAAAGTCTCTACATATAAACATTTTGTTTTACAGTAGCTTAAAACAAACAAACAAATGTTTCAGAACATTATGGCTGAGGCATTTTGGATTGGTAAACAACTTATTTCAGTTTGGTTAAACCTATACCCAAATATTTTCATTGAATTACAATGAAGAGTTTCAGAAGAGATGTGGGGAGTATTAAGCCTCTTCAGATAATTATTATGAATCCATTAGAAATGTATAAAATGTAATATATAATTTAATTAACTTCTGTTGACCAGTCAAATATCGGCATTCCACGTATATAAGAAGCCAGAGAAGACATTGTTCAACCCCAGTCAGAAACAATGATGTTATGTCTTCAATTCCAATTCATTCTTAGAGCAATACCTTTTCAAAAACGTCTCCAGAAATACCAAAACTAGGTCTTTAGATCAATGTCATAAAAGCACTAGCTCGTCAGTCTTCATTTAGAAGTACTTCCTGAATGAAGTTAAGACACAGTCCCTAATGAGTTAAGACCAGAACAAAGAACTGTCTGCTGCTGTCAGTCAAAGCATCTCAGAGATAAGAAAAGTCATTTAGATGACTTTGAAACCCAGCCGCAGGATGAAAGACAAATGCTCTGTATTTTGGAGCGGTGTCAGTTTGCAGCAGCTAACGCCATCAGATCACAATCAGAAGATATTATGTTAACAACAAAGGGGCTGTTCAGTGAGAAGTGAGGTTGAGATCAAACTTCATTAGAAATACAATTTATTTTCTTTCTCTCTTTATTCTTGGTCATTCCATACAGCAACAGGTCACACATCAGTCTTCCATTTCATTTTACAGTGTTCTTAATATAGTTCGCTATCTGTGTACTTTTTTTTTGATTTTTTGCTTTATATTTTATGTATGCACCATGACATCAAGTCAAATTCCTCGTGTTTTGTGAGGCAACAAACCCATTTCTGATTCTGATTTTTATTTGGATTTCCTTTTTGATCAGGTATTGTGTGAGAAAGCTGTTAGACATACTTACATTAAAGCTCACCTATTATGCTATATATTTCAACAATATATTATAGGGCCATATCTATACAAAACATGTCTCTGAAGTGTTTTGCTCAAAATGCCAAACAGATCACCCATTGTAGCCATGCCCATACTTGTCAACCTTGAGACCACAGAAATCGGGAGCATTTCAAAATGCAAAATGGGGGGGGGTGCTAGTGGATCGCCGGAGCTGTTAGATTAACATTAACATGCTTATTGTTGTTATAAGTGCAATGCCTTGCGGCCTGTAGCACCATCCTTGATGGAGCATATGTGTGGGCAGGAAAGGAGTGAGCAGAGAGTAGAGTAGTTGTCGATTCTTGTTCTGTTTTCTGTGACTATCTGCCTCACCCTCTCAGACTTTCAGTTGCGCGCTACTAAAGAGACGTGTTACCATGGAAACCAAACAATGGTGTAGCTGTATTAAAGTCTGAGTGGAAACAGTCCTGAGTAAATCTGATTTAGTCAGACATCGGGAGAAATGCGGGAGAAATATGACCCCGGGAGGAAACCGGGAGAGGGCAATGAAATCGGGAGTCTCCCGCGAAAATCGGGAGGGTTGACAAGTATGGCCATGCCTCATACCCCTCTATTTCAGCCCTGTTACAAAAGTGCTGATTCTGAGTCCGGCCCTTTAAATGTTACCGAGCTGCTGCTGGCCACGCCCCTTTGGAGCTGCTGCTAGCCACGCCCCTTTGGAGCGCAGGCAAACAGTGAGCTATGTGAAGAGAAGGCTGTCTACCGGCAGAAACTCAGCTAAACGCTGCGGTGATTAAACGCCATATTATGTTCCAAACCACATCAAGCATTAATTCTGAAACAGTATGGATTTCCGGCTTCTTTACACATATTCTCTCTAGTACAGCGTTAGCTCTGAGGAATGCTTGCGTGCATTGTTTCTGATACAGCACATAGCTTGACATGTTCTTTCTTCAGTGTTTACCGCTAGAACAGTGCCATTATATGTATTATATGTATTATATATATATATATATATATATATATATATATATATATATATATAACAACTTTACTCTACGAGTCCCAGACATCCTGCTGAATACACTGACACACAGCTGCAGGAGGGATTCAGCTAGCCGACTGTAAATGGGAGACGATAGGGTTGGGACGTGGTGGGGACGTTGCCAGGAGTTCAATGTAAAGCCAGCCTACATTTTAGAAATGACGCCAAGTCCGCAGAAAATCTTGATCAGCTCCGTTGAACCCCCGTTTTTAGAGATGTGGGTAAGGCGGAAAACAGAGAGGGTTGTATTTTCGGACACTTTGTGAGTCTCCTTTCACACCGGGGACACATATTTATCTATGAAAGAAATCAAAAAGTAAATTTTGCATAATAGGTTAAAAATAGAAAACCTAGTACAAAGTGAAACAAAGTGTGTCTCATATGGGGTTGCCCTAGTTCTACTGCAAATCGGAAAGGCTTTAGAGCACACAGTCCCTTACTTTTACACTATATCATCTTATCACCTGTTTTGAGGGATATTTTAAAGGGAAACAAATGACATACACTAAAGTAGACTGGCACTCGGAGAGCTCAGACGTTGGATGTTCCTATTTCAAGGGGTCCCAGAGAACTTGATGTATTCATTAAGGTAAAGGTAAGGTAAATCGGTCCAGTAGTTTTTTGTAATCCTGCCTACAGACAAACAGCAAGCACCTAGAACATTTCAATTTTCTCACAGTAGCAGCAAATGTGCATGAGTGTGTGTGCCCTTTTGTCAGATGAGTATTAACAAGGACATTCAATGTAATCAGTGGGGAGTATCTGGAAGGAGTCAGCTTCCAGATGCTTGTTGGTGTTGGCTTTTTTGTAAAGGAATAGGAGCCATTGCTTTTTCTTACCCCAATTAAAAAACAATAATGAGGCAGCTTACAAGAGCAACTCAGGGTGAGGTGGTAGCACGCAAACAAAGATCCCATAATGTTCTGCAGCTGAGCCCTGTTTACATGAGGACAGTTCCAGTAATGAAGTCAGAACACGTGGAACAATAAAGAAACTAGCAGATTCAAAGGTTTTTTAATCATGTTGATTAAACATGATTTTATTTATTAAAAAAGTACCAATGGCTGGAAATGCAACGACTGCTACATCACTTAAAATGGCGGCAGCACTGATCGAGGTTTGACAGTTCTTTCTTTAATGGGGACAATTTAGCCATCGTGAATCCACATTTGTGTGCTCTCCACAAATATAAAAGTGAACATTCAAAAAGTATTCTATGGTGCTTTCTGATGGAGAAAACTATTTGTTATCCAGAGCTGGGGTTACAAATGTATTGGACTTCTTGCTGCAGATTGATATTACCGCATATAGTCAGTCCCTTGAGTTGTCTGTTCTCCTAATCAGCGGATTGTTAGCAAAAATTAACAACCGCTGGAATGTCCAGATTCACTAATCAGAATCGAGTGTTCAAAGCCGTGTAATAATACCTTATGCTGTCCTTCTTTTGCAGGAATGGTTCACTGATGACTGTAAGTTCAGGGAGCGATTCCAGGAAAACAGCTACAACACTTACGCCTCAGTAATCCACAGGAACCACAGGACTGGTCGCGACTGGTTTGTGGCGCTCAATAAGAGAGGGAAAGCTAAAATGGGCTCCAGTCCCCGGGTTAAATCCCAGCATGTCTCCACTCACTTCCTGCCCAGGGTCGACCTGCATGACAAGAGCGAGCGTGGCTTCACGATCACTGAGAGGAGCAAAGAGAGGAGGAAAACCCCACCGCCACTACCGCCCAAACCTCCACTGGCGAAGGCTGTCCTTCCAAGAACACCCACGAGACGTACGCAGGTCAAATACTGGCCAAAGTATCGGTTTGGATAGGTGTTATTGACTCAGTCTGGGGCACAACAACTTCATAGACGTTGGACATGTGTCGCATTCAAAACATTCCGGGTATCCATAAAGTATGTGACAAACCTCAAAGGGCTGCCATGTAAAACACTGAGCTTTCCTTTGTTCAAGCTGTGATCATGGTTGGGGTTTCCACTTAAGTTGATGATGCGCTGTCTTGTTTTATGTTTTAGTATATCATCAATCATCAATCATCCATGTTATGTCCTGCATCACTATGTCAGTCATATATTATTATGTGAGGGACTTATTATAACCAACTCAACTCAGGGGGCGGTCTAAAGAAGATATTGATGGGTTTTTAAAAAAACAAACATTTTTGCACAGTCCCTTAAGCATGGAAATTATGCACTGAAGTACAATGAGACATGGATTTTGTAAAACGAAAGTTATGTTATGTTGTGTGTGAAGGCTGTTGTTTGACCATACTTATATTAGTACATTTTTATACTATATATAGTACAATTAATACAGCTGATATGTTATACTGAAAACAAAATGAGAACTTCTAAACAAGTTCAGAGAAATAAGAGCACATAGATAAGATGTCGATTTTCGCTTTAAACACAGAAAAAGTCTGAAAGTGAGACAGTGCTTCAAACATTCAACATTCAAGCAGCCGTGGAAGGGCACTCTAGGAACATCTCTGGGGAGGAGAGCAAGACCTTAAACTATAAATTACAATGCTGTCTTTTTATTTAATTGTTTGGATTACGAGCTTGTGGTATCTTTTTTAAGAAGCATTCTAAAAAACTCAAATGGACAATCTGTCACAATACTTTGATTATATTCCACTGTCAGAACCTGTGTAATAACCTATGTGAAAAAGTACATTATGACATAATATATCTCAAAACCTAAAATATCTGTATTTTTCATATTAGGCCTGTAACAAGAAGAGTAAAAGTATAAAACATGTGTTTATAAACTTTCTATTTAAATTGCAATTATTAGAGCTTGGTTTAAAAGGAACGTTAGGGTAATGAACGTGGCTGATTTTATATCTTTGAACAGTATTCTGTTAAAATGTTATATCCAAACGGTATTTAACAATGTCAAGACAAACCAAGCAAGCAGAAAGCACTCAGAGCTAGAATTCTACTACCTGTCCAGCTTTCGAAAAAGTATTGGGTTTCATGTCTGGATCACACCATAATGTATATTTTCAAACTGGATACAGTTAAAAATATTATTTATTATAATATTTCTGACTTTACTCTGTCGAACGTGCTAATAATCTGCTCCCATGTCAAAAAAGGATTTGCAGTGCCCATGATGTATCCAATGCACTGCTTTAGCTTGGCAAGCTAACTGTTAGAAATTAATTAAATAAAGCAAAATTGTAACTTTGGATCTCAGGTTGGGTTCAGTGCAGTGATTCACATTTGGGCAGGGTCTTAAAGGTGCCCTTTGAGACTTTTGGGGATTTCCCTTTCCTGTAGTGTGTTATATAGTTTTTGTGGATGTAAATGGTCTGCAAAGGCTAACATCCCCAAAGTTCACGCCACAGGAAGTTTCTCTCCCACACACTGCCTGAAACGCTTCCATTGTAGTCCTTTGTTTACTTCCGTATCATGGTGCCACCCCGCGCGCTTCTATTGGCTGGTGCTCCATCACACTGTACGTCAGGTGGGATATCTCTAAGCAGTTGACCAATAACAGCAAAGCCGGTCAGCTAATCATGTCAGACTGGGCTCTGGTTTCAGACAGAGGGGGGAAAGAGGTGCTGCAGCATAGGCAGTATGAGACAAATAAAGACCTTTTTGAACATTAAAGCATGTCAACATGTCACAGTAGAGGTACAAAATGATGATATAAAATGTTAATAATCCTTAACCACATTTGCCAAATAATATGCACAATGACGGACAATCATGGGACATGGAAACCAGTTAAGGGAAAAAAACTAAACAATTCTACTTAAGAAACTGCTTCTATTTTATGGTTAATACACAGGTTAATACAGAGGACATATATATACAATATACAGTGGCCAAGTATTACGTGGTGTTTTTGTCTTTGTTGTGGCAAAGTAAAACACTCCTTGTTCTTCCTATAAACTGTTTGTATTTTGTTATGATCTTATGTGATGTTATCATGTTGTTTGGTTGTCATACACATCCTAAGGAAATATTTTTTCTACCACGTTTTTTAAATATAAAAAACTATGTATGAAATATATTTGTACTTAACTATTAAAGACAGTGCACATATCAGCTGATCTTTATATGTGTATGATGTTGTATTTGACTTGAATGTAGCACACTTTTGGAATGCCAAATATGCTTACTTGTTATACAGATCATGCTTTGTGGTATTTCTACGTTGGATGAGACACTACAGGTAGATATTATTTCACACACTGGTACATTTTTAGACTTTTGGGCTATTTCCATTACATAAGATGTCTTCTTTTAGAATAGTGGAAAGAAAACATCCAAAATACTAATTTAGGTGTTTTTTCCTCCCAAGTTTGTATTTTTGCGTCTGTAGATTTCTCCTTAATTCACGAAAAATGTGCATTACATGAATTATAATAACTAATAAGATCACTCATCTGCACATTTCTACTACTGCTCTCTTCAGAGGTCAGAGGTCAGGACCCTGACACAAGTCACAATATCTCAGCCTCTGCTCCATGTACTGCATTTTAATGTTTTTTCCTCAATCTTTATGGAAGTCAATACAAAATCACAGCATTACTGAGTCTGCTCATTCTTTTTTAAACCAAAGTTTAAAACATGATCGTAAGTTTGGCCAAAACAGAAATCCTTTTTAAGATTTAGAAAATAAATGTGTTATCTATATAACAGTACTGTATACATTTTTTTTTAAATAAATAATATGCTGTATAAAAATCATCCAGGTCCTTCCATCTATCAAATACTATCACAAATATAATATCAGTTCACTTACTATCAGTGGTAGGCCAAAAACTATTTATACTGTAAAAGCATTACGAGCATATTTGGTGCATTACAACAACCCAGAATTTGACCAAAATTGTGTATTTGGCTAAATAATATGTGGTTGGCAATAATAGAAGAGGGATGTTTCTGATTCATCTTCACTCAGAATGTCTCAGGATTCGATGTCAGGGTAAACACAGTTCAGAATAATTGATTACTTAAAAGGAGGCCCAATCGGCAGAAGATTGACTTTGAATGCAGAGAGGAGGGATCACTTGGTTAATCACTTCTGAACTTCAAAAGTGCCTTGAGTGGAGTACAAATGTCGGCCAGGTATGTCCAAATCGAAAACTGCCTTGGTTAGCTTACTTATGACAATATTCAGATAATTGGCTTAACAGGTTAAATGGAGCGATATTAGTAAAATACCAATAATCTCTAACTGCGATTCACTGAAAAGAAACATATTTTTAAATGTTGCAATTTTTAGTTGGCAGTTTTTTCACAGGTTTAAGCTCTTTCCTTAACATCAAACTTTTGCCACTGTTGTTTAAGTGCCAATAATAGAAAAATGACACTGAATGTACCGACCTTCAATTGCTCTAAGGACATCATATCTTGGTGTCTAAGGGAGAGTAAATGGAATGGGACCACAAGCAGGAAAATGAATGTCTCCTGGTTAAGTGTTTCATTTTTTATTCTAAAAACAAAAGGTCATGAGTTGCAAATTCAACAACAAGATCTTTACATCACATTAACATAATTGAATTGGTCACAAAACAAATTACAAACCATCTTCCAAATGGAATCACACCAGCCATTATGCCATATTGGGCCAAGTTTGTAAAGTATTTTAAAATGTCTTATTAATATAAAATACTCGTAAAATTCGTAAACCAAAACATTATAAAACACTGACATTTACATCACAAATTATGAGTATCAAATTGAATCATGATTCGATTTCATCACATTTTTGACAAACTGCAAAGTCTTACTTTTACACATCGGCTATAGGCTATGCCTATAGATAATAAACAACAACAAAATCAAGTAAGCATTGTTATTTTCAATTCTCCCTACAGTATGTGCAGGATATTCATTTGTCATTCCCTCTAAGATTGAGAAAAATGTATATAACGGAAAAAAGAAATAAGCTGAAGTACGCCATAAACCAAAACTAAAATGATCAAGATCCTTTCACTAACGTTGAAAGAAAAGAAAGAGTATCACCATGGAAAAAAGGTTGTTGAACACAGAATCAGGACAACAGGATTTTCTTATTTATTATTCATACAGTCCTGGTGTTAAATAATGAAGTGGGTCTTTATTTCTAGGTAGAACACCCTTGGTGACCTCAGAAGTACGATGAAGCTTGCGTGACAGTCTTTATTTTAAGTTGATCTTGAAGGAGCATGTTCCCTTGTTAAGCAACTTACATCTCCACCGCTCTGCTCACCCCTCTGCCTCCACTTATCTAATTTCTCTGTCTACGTATTCCCACATTGGACATGAATTACATTGCTGTGGCATGAAAGCACGTCTCATAACAACATTTGAAATCATTACCTCACTTTCCGTGGACGTCATTGCAGAGCCATTAAAAGTCATGCTGAATGAGAAAATTAAACAAAATGATGATAAAAGTTGATAATGACAGCCAAGAGTCACAGTATTTCTGTAAATGGAGCCGAGGACATTCCCGCTCTACTTTTTATTCTATATTATACTGTCATTAAAGGGACCAAATAGTGTTGATTGAGAATTTAGGGATTGACGTCATGGGACTGAGTAACTTTCTCATATTGTACATTCATTCCAGGTTTAGGCTCCATACATATGTGTATATTGATTTCAGTGAAGTTAAGCAGGTATTTAGACATACAGAAAGACATTGAAACAGAAGACATGTATTACTTTTACAACTTGCAATATAATGATACATTACTTTGAATTTAAATTAGTTTACTATGATAACCTATACCAAAACTTGGATTTAATCTTGACAAGTAAGGACTGGTGAAGACCTTCAGCGAGGAATTCTCCCGTAGTCTACATTTTTGCTGCACTCAACCTTAACACAGTAAGTGAGTCCTAAAACATGGAAATGAGTTCTTCTGGTTCCCACATCTCCTAGTCAATGGGTTGTTGCATAATAATAATAATAATAAATTATATTTCTATAGCGCTTTTCTTGAGCCCAAAGACGCTTTGCAGCACCTCTTTTCCCCCTCTGAATGGATTGAGTGATGTAAGGTCTATGGTTAACACAACCTTTGGAGGACTTCACTTTTACTGACTTAATAAGCAATTGTTAACAAGTAGATAAACAAGACTAATAATAGTTGTCATTACCGTGAACATAAGTTGTTCTTAAGTGGTGGTATCATTGAAGTCATCAACTGAGGAGGTTTTTACTTGGTGGCATTAACTCTTCAAAAATCCCTTAAAAAATAACGTACTTTTTGGTTTTGTTTTCCGAGTTTATTTCTGCAATAATCTCAAATATGTGGGCTTTTGTAGAGGGAACTATAGCAAACTTCCAGGTGAGCCTACAAGAGCACTTTATCCCGACTGCATTCACTGTAAATTAAAAGTCCAGTGTTAAATTAAATCCTACAGAGTTGATTTCAACACTTTTTCGGAGTTAATATACTCCACACTGAGTTAAATGAACACTTTCAAAATACTTAAACATTTAACACTATGCCAGTGTTACTTCTTTAACTCTCAAAACAGAGTTAAAGTAACACTAGGGGATTAAACAAATAACAATGGTCTGAGTGTCAGTTTTAACTCTGAGAAAGTGTTACAATTATTTTAATTGTATTGTATATATATATATATATATATATATATATATATAAACACAAGGATGAGTTACAATAAATAGTTGATTTCAACCATATTTATTTGTGCCTTTCAACATCAACAGTCCTTTGGAAGTGTGGGCCCCCCAAGTCAATAGGGCTATTTGGTGGCATAGCAGATCTTCTGCGAATCTTCCTTTGGACCATTTTCAGACGCCAAGAAAGGTATCCCGTGCTGCTTGCTGCATCATAGAAGTGTTCCTAAAATTAAAAAAAGGCATTGTCATTCTCTGCTCATGAGGAAATCTCAATGTTATTCACGCACTCAAGAATAACATGAAAGTGTCATACAAACATTATTATTATACATTAGTATTAACTTACGTAGCCTTTTTTGGTGTGGATCCTTGAGGGAACAGCATCACTATCCCAAGAGCATACTCTTCTCTGATTGCTTTAGTGGGGCAGTGCCTAAAAAGAGACATTATTTATGTTAATATGGTTACCAGCCGTTGTTGGAACAATAATAGATACATATAAAACACATACCCATGATTGTCAATCATGTGAGCCATGTTAACCATTTTTCTTCTTGTAGCATCTGTTATGGTTCCTGTTTGGTACTCCTGTAGCACCTCTTCACCACCGGATTTTCCTCTTAGCACAGTTTCAATCAACTAACAAAAATCAAAACCAGAGAGAATGCAAAAAATTATTAATAACACAATTTCTAGGAATTGTTTGAAACCAAAAAATAAATTATTAAAATTAAACTTTGTTTCAACCTCTTTAGCAGCATGCAACAAAGTAACATATTTACCAACACATGTTCTACGCTACTACATACTTACATTTAAATGTGTGCTGTGCTGCGTCGGTTCAGCCATTCTCCACAAGGGTTTTTGAAATTGGTCCGTGCGCAAAGCATTGTGGGGATTTGAAGGACGCGAAGTCTACCCATGTGCAGCCTCGAAATTACCCCNACCGTTCGAAACATCTATTTGCCGCCGAACGCCACCTCACTCAAGTGGACCCAAGTCATACCGTCATATACCGTATAACACGGTATGATGTCAGCAAGGTATGACGGTATGAAAAAAATGATACCGCCCAAGCCTAGCTCCAGCCTCAAACTAAATCTTATATAGTAAAAAAAAAAAGTAAAGCTTTGTTTTACTTTACTTTGAGCTACAATTTTAATCGTTGTTAAGTCGATATTTATACAATTGGAGACATTAACATTAGCTAGCTAGCATAGACAGTTAGCAAAGTTAGCTAGCTAACATAGACAGTTAGCTGAATTAGCTTATCACCTCGACACATTTGCTGTTCACTTTTAGAAACAAAGGTGTAAACGCATATATTCTCGGTAGTCATTGTGCATAATGCAGTATACAGCATCAATTGTTTCTGTAGTTTGACTTTATTTAACTCACCACGTAGAACTTATCAAGGAGAAAATGGCACCAAGTGTCTCTTGTCTCCAACCGAAGAACTGAAATGCGGGAGTGCCTGCGCGTGCCTTCAGTGGGTGGAGCTTAATTACATCTCTGCAGGGTTAGTTCAACACTGATGTGATCAACTATTTCGAATAACTCCAACACTGAACACCATTTGAATCATAAAGTGTTAAAATTACACTTTTGGAGTTAAAATCAACTCTCAAATGTTTAACCCTGAAATATCAACACTCCAATTTTTGCTGTGATTTTTGCTGTTTTTGTCCATTACAGCTTTGAGGGTTTTACTTGGTACAGAAAGTTATTTGGTATCCAGAGTTATATGCTGTAAACTTGCAATCATAGCACCAGGATTTTAACTGCCCAGCCAAACTGCTGTTTTTAGATTTTAACCTTCATAAGTTTGTAAAAAGGACGTCTGTAATAATTATTTATGAATCTATTTGTGAAACTGAGGGCTCTAATATAACATTTTAGTCAAATTGTTATGATTTTAAACGGAAGCATTTAGTGGGTGTGTGCAGCTTGTGGACTTCCGCTTCCTGTGATACCTTGTTGCTATAGCAGCCTCACAACACGGAGCACGTGAAGATGGAGTACAGCACAGCTGCTCGTGTCAACGATTCAGTGACACAGTTTAAAGTCTACGAAGATTATCTCGACTCAAATGTCAAGCCAATGGATTTATTTTACCTAAAAGTGAGTCACTCTGCTATAAACTTGTGGCATAATTCCTCTCTGAAACGTTACATTTCTTTCTCAAGGTAACCCCGTTCTGTTTTTAACATTATGTCAGAACCGCATTCGCTAAACTGACAGTTTTAGATAATCTTTGTAATAATGCAACAGTGCACGTTACAAAAACGTAATTTTTCACTTTAAAAAACATCATCCAGCTCCTGTTCAATTCGGCCTCATTTTAATCCTTAGGCGCGGTCTTATTTAATAATTAAATTAAAGTAATACAACACCACTTGTTTCAGATATATTTTTCAACACAGCAGCAGCAGCTAGCTGTCGTGAAAGAAGAGCATGACACCTATTTTGACACGCTGCCCTGCTATGCGTTTATCTTTTGTTTACTTATTTACTTAAGCCATAAGATTATTACATCGATTAAATTCACGTTTTAATAAGTATGGCTCTCTCCTGCTGGTGATGAAGACACAAACATGCGGGAACAAAATTAATGGTATCTGGTTTGTAGTTCATACTCAAAACATAGACTAAAGACGACATTTCTTGTGACAGCTTTTCCCTCTTTAATATAATTAGGTTAAACACGCTTTAAAAAGTAAGCATTTTAAAAACTATAGCCATTTCTCACTTTTTTGACAGTTTTTAATAGCGTGCTGTTAAAACCAGTGGTGGAAATTAATTAAATACATATATTCAAGTACTAATGTACTTAAGTATACATTTGAGGTTCTTGCACTTTACCCTAGCATTTTCATTCTATACTACTTTATACTTCTACTCTACTACATTTTGGAAGCAAATGTTGTACTTTTGCCCCATATTTAGTTACGTTACAACATTATGATGTTGACAAACTATATTTAGGAAACATTTTTAAAGTAGGATTATTTGGTTGAGATTAAACCATGAGTGGATTAACAGAAAAATAAGTGGGAGCAAGAGGTTTTCTGTTCAAAAATATTTCACAGTTTCTATAATGTTAGGAATAGCTGCTTTTTCTCTAAAATATTTTTTGAAATTAAATATGTTATGCTGTAAAATATATTTTTTAATTTAAATATTTTTTGAGTTTTTTTCTGCAATTAATACTTTTACTCCTAAAACTCTAAGTACATGTTTCTAATCTAAAAAGTATTTGTACAGTGTTTTATTTCTACTTTTACTCAAGTAAATAATTGGATAACTTTTTCGACCATTAATCAAAAGCACTGTTTTCTCAAATTGCACAATTGCTGGCTTTTCCATGGTGATACATTTATCTGTTGTAGTGCAAGTGGTCGCACGCTAGGTGGCAGTCATACACAGTTTTGATTAAAGCGATTTAGACAGTAGATTTAACAGGCAGCTACCACCAATGCCCATTTGAGATGTGCTTCACTCATTCATAATTTCAAAACACACAAGACAACCACAGCATGATTATCATTGATACAACCAAAATGTAAAGACAAAAAGTCACAAAGAAGTCTCTGCGTGTCCTCTGCCCTAGAAGTGGTAGTCGGGCCATTTTGACAATTTAATTTACTCCTGGCCAAAATTAAAACTTAAATGATTTTAATAGTCTAGTTTTGAGAATTTAAAAAGTCTTAATCGTCTACTTTGCAAATTCTGTTATCACCTAAAGTGTATCTATAAAAAAACGTGTGTTTTTATTGAAGCAGCGTTTTTTCTAGAAAAATATAGTATTAGGGTGCTGATCTTGTATATAAGATATATCAATTATCGTGAGAATATGACGGCCGTATAGAAGATGGCGCTGCAGACATAAACAACAGCCTGATGTTGGCATTCCTTAAAGAGCAACTTCAAGGTTAGAGACACCAGTGAATAAATGTGTAGGAAAATTATGAATACACTAGATTTTCAAAAACATATACAGAAATATACACTACAGTGACATCTGGCGTCGTTTTTGTAAGACATTTTCACTTCCGCATAAGAAAGCCTTGGCACGTGACCTCCCGCGTGTGACGTAACATGGGGGAAACAAGGGGGAGAGCGGCCGGTGTAACGTATTAATAAACATGGATCCCAATGCTAGTTTCGACACAGAAGACACAGAGAGATGTAATACTGTTTCCTGATAAAGCTGTGGAGAGTATGTGCTACAGGGAGGTGGATGCACAACGCACCCAGGAACGAACGCTAGCTCCGGTCCATTTCCCGTGAGGGAAACTGTGGACTCGATGTCCTGACAGGCTGGTATTTGTGCAACCTGCACAAACACAATACTGCACCATGATTACTAGGGGTGCACCGAATGGGAAATTCTTGGCCGAAACCGATACCGAAAATAGGAAACAGTTGGCCGAAAACCGAATGCCGAAAGGTCTATTAATAGAAATATATATATATATAATGTATACATTTTTTACCAATGTTGTTCAGCTGCCTGATTATGGAAAAATAAATGATTATGGCAAAACTTAACTTAAAGAGCCTGTGACACGAACCCAACAACTGTTGTGCAATGAAATAGTGGGCTACTAATAATCTCGAACCGTCAGTTTAAAAAAGAAAAAGCGATACCGTTCCGATAAATATCAATAATTTCGAACATCGCGGGAAAATTCCTTCGACTCATTTTGAGGTTTTGGGGGAAGCCGGAAGTGACGTCAATGCGGGAACGCTTCACTGTGCGGCGAGAGAGCCAAACACGGACAAAGTGTGTTGTCATGCGTAGAAATGGTGAATTACTGAGTTTAGGCACGTTAATAACGTTTTAATGAAGTTGACTACAGTATATTCATATTTGTCAGTGCTTTCATGTCAATTCGGTGAACATAAACATAAATGATCGTGGTGAAGATGATGATTAAATTAGTATTAAAAATCGGTAGTGAGAGCTGCTGAATTTCCTCCCGTCGGATGTGATATAAAAACAAATCGATTATTTTTGTAGTTGTAAACTCAAGTGGATGAAACTACATTTATTAGTGCTTTCATGTCAATTCGGCGAACATATGATACATTAAATGATCGTGAGGATGATGATTTAAAAATCTTTTGTTTGAGCCGGTCTGCATTTCCTGATGAGAAAACAAACCTTAGCTTTTTGTAGTTGCAGTCAGTGGTGTAGTGGGCGTTGGACGCGGGGGTACGCCGTACCCCCACTTATTTGAAGCATGATTTCTTTTTTAATAGTCTAATACATCTAAAATCATTGCCAGTGTTATCAGTTGCAAGTGTGTGTTTGTTGTAATAATGACGAAAACAACAATAAGGCAGATTTCACAGTAATATAAGTAAGAAGCGTGCTCAAGGCATTTAGTTGTCAACGTTGATTTGAGGCGGTGGAGCCTGTGTGAGGAGACGTGGTGTGGTAGGGGTGCAGGTGCGCCGCCTGTGCGGACTGAACACGAGCAGTGGTTATGTGAGTGGGCGGGTCCCACAGCGAGTTGAGACTAGTCCGCATTTGAGTGTGTTAGTCGGCAGAAGGCCGGATCGGTTCGGACAGCCGGTCACCGGCGCCTGTATATGTTAGTATTGTCGTAAGACGGGCATCATGTGAGGTGCGTTGACAGGGACGTCGCGTAGTGTCGCTAGTGTCTCCCGTCCACCCCTCCATCCGTCGTCACCAGTAGAAAAATCCGCACTAGCCCCACCACTGGTTGGTACGGTAGGTACCCAACATGGATAAGGCGTGTGTTTTTTTAAGCAACTGTTGGGAAATTAATGGAGTAAAATGCACGGATGTATTATTATATTATTATTTCATTATTATTATTTTCTGATTTTTTATTCAGCACTGCCGATCTGACAATAGTCGTCCGTTGCCCGGCAGCGAGCTCCCCCCGTTGACGGTGTTACGTTGCTGGGCTGGGTTGCATGC